TCTCCTCTCCTCTCCTCTCCTCTCCTCTCTTCTCTTCTCCCTATGCCTCCTCTCTTTCCCTCTTCCTCTTCCTATCCCTCTTCCTTTCTGTATATTATAGTAGTTCATCTCTGTATTGGTACATAAATTTGGTTATGATGCATGACTTCTTCATCAGATAGTTATATAAGATATCTAAGTACCTTTTCCCCATTGTTTCCAAATGCTTCTCACAGAATCTTCCCCTTAAAGCCATCTTTTTATTCCAAAATATTAAGTTATGGGAGGAAATAAATTGATGAGCAAATTCACAGAAAAAATGCAGAGACATTTGGCACAGAGTAGGTAAATGGTAAGCTTTTTGCAAAAGACTATTGAAGAGCAGGATATTGTAAACTCACAAGAGGAGAATATAAAACAGAATGTCTGGACAAGTAATTGAAATGGTGCAGCTTTGATCATGAATGACTCTAGATATCTGCCTGCTAAAACATTTCTTCTTCAATATCTTCTTTTATTGCCTGGAGTAGTAGCTATGTAAGAAAATGATTGTTGTCAATTTAACTGCAGAAGGCTTCGGCTTATAATTATCACCTTAGAGGGAATGGCTTTCCAAAGAGACAGTTATCTGATAATATCCTTTGAGATCCAAATAACAATATGATCTCCCCTTGATCTTTCTTGAGTATCTCCAAGAATTTTATGAAAGGGAAAGAATAACTTATCCTTGAAAGTTATAAAGAATGATTTCTTCAAAAAGGACAAGATACTTGCATACAAGAAACTTTTTCGTTCTTTATGTTGTTGGTGGGAATTGAAACAATATGAGGACTATCAAATAAAGGCTAGAGTATTGCTAGTTGTTGCTCGAACAACATATAAATAGCCACCTAATATTATAGAGAGAATAGCCCTTCTCTGTTATGTAAATGTGAATGTTTCTTTGTAGATAAACAACTTGGGATCAAAATTTGTTCCATGTCAGTTTTGTATAGCAACTAATTTACCTTAATCTTACCTCAATTAGCTTGCTTTTTGATATTTTTGAAATAATTTTGCATATCATCAGTATACTTATTCATTATTCTAGTTATGTTCCTTTTATTCTGTCTTTCACTCTCCATGTCAGTATTTACTTGACTATATCATTATTGAGAATTACCTTTGTCCCATCAAGAACCTCATTTCTTCTATAAGCAGAAGAGTCTTTCAGATCTTAATAGATATTAGGAATAAACTGCATTACTTAGTGTAATTGCAATTAAGCACAGTTTAATGTGTCCCCAACTCAGCTGGGCTTGATATGTGATATTTGTAAGAGACTTTATATTCATTTTCATATTAATTTTATTGAGAATTAAGTAACAATGAGACAGTTTCAAAACAGGTTAGTAAGACAGTTACAATAATTAATACTTTGCATATTGTTGTCTTCATAGTAAAAAATGCAGACATGATATCTTGTCTAAACACTATTAGTTCAAAACTTTCTTCTCATTGAACTAAGAGAAAGTAGCTGTATATCTATGCTAATATATATATATATATATATATATATATATATATATATATATGACTATACAACTTTATATTCAAAAGAAGGATCATGGGCACCTTTCAACATTCCTAAAATTAAGCAATACAGAAATATTTTGTGGGCATTGCTTTTTATCTACCCTATATACATTATTTTTGTATGAACATATCCCATCCACTAATGAACCTTGACTAGTCTACATAGTCACTCTTGATTTCTGAGGATGTCAGTTGACTGAATGATGCTCAGATGTTAATAAATAGCAATCATTTAATATTTGACAAGGACAAAATATGTGTAAAGGACAGAACCTAATGACTGATTGCAAACGGTAAAGGAATTAAGAAAGTCAGACATAATCCTGAACTTTGGTTCTTAGATCTAATTCTGCATTCACTGAGAAGCCTGTACTTTCTTCTCATTGTACCCATGTAATTCAGGACAAAGTTTAGTATTTGAGCAATTGCATTAGTTATTTTACCATAATAAAATAGTTTTGGGGATGGAACATTATTGTATTACTTTAAGAAGGAAGCTTGACACTGTAGGTTTTCTGAGGATGCATGGTTGAGAGAGGAAGAATATTTCTAAAAAGTATCATGTATGAAAACTGTCCTCATACAGCTGACGTGCTTATAGTGTTACACCGTGGTTTTGTATTAGGAATTATTTGGACTTGCAGCTTTTTTAGTTAAATCACAATAAGAAATAAGTGAAGTGAGACACATATGTAAACATTTAGAGAAAAATCCAGAATTCCAAAAACAATAAATTGAGCACTTTATATAGCAACATACTAAAACAAGTTTTGTCTGTATCACTGTATGTAAGAACAAAAGAATGGAAGTTCAGTAATTTGACACAGATTTGACGGGGCAGGTTGTCCAAATGTTTATTACAATATTGTTAGCTAATATGTATTAAACACTTGAAAAATGCCAGACTCTTTTACTTGTAGGTTGCAGTTTAATCTCTAAAGCAACTATTTTAAGGGGATTTCTTCTATGTTTCCTGTTTCTTAGATGAAGAAATGGAGGCGTAAATAGGCAAAGTAATTTGTCTAAAGTTGCCAAGTTAGAGAGCTAAGATTTGAAATTGCAGTGTGTTTTTAACAATTATTTTTACTGGTCATACCTTTTTCCTAAGACTCATAGCTTGCTAAGCAGATTATTCTCAAGCTTCTAGACTACTAAATCACCGCAGTCTACATATGATTGTGCTCAGCACAAGCTGGGTTCACTTTTTCAGGCTATAATTATATATTCCACTCTTTAACTGTAACTTCCTACAATTTGAAAACACAAGTGAGTGCTTTTCTCCACTTTTGATTAAGTTTTCTAATTTGTCAACCATATATTTCAAAAATGTCAATTTAATTTATTGCTGATTTGTTATACTGGTGATGGGAAAGCTTTAAAATCCTATATAATGCAATGTTTTATGAAAATGGGTTTTGCCATTAGCTATTTTCGTTTGTATCTATTCATCTCTTAGGGTCATTCAGCAGGGTATGTGAAAGACCACTGAGATATATTCCCTCTAGAATGAGAAGTGCATTGTGTAGTAAGCTTTTTCCTTCTCTCTGAATGTACTTTTTTTCCTTTGCAGCTCTGTGTAAGCTTCAGCCCTTGGAAGCCCTCTTCGTTATTTTACGGGAATCTGCTCCTACAGTCAAATCCAGTGGATGGTAAAGATGCATGTTTTAATCTCCTAAGCATGCTGACTTAACAGTTTTATATAGCAAATCTTCATTTAGTTGGTTTGTCTTGCTTCACCATCCTTGTGGAGTAACATTTTGTAACACCCAATATCTTAACTTGAAAGTCTAAATGATCAGTTTTCATTAAGAGCTAGTTAGCCAACTAAAAATAAGTATTATCTTCAATCATATATGGCTATGGCACTATTAAACAGTCGCTAGTGAGCATTTTCAATTGGTTCCATGGTTGTAAGATGGACAAAGGACAACTCTTTGTAAAGTTTTTCCATATGTCTACATAGGTTGGCATTCATTATTATATATGGCAAAATTGATTGTCTTATTATGCTAAACATTCACAGACCTATAACAGAAAACTTATTCTTTCAGGATGCTGTTAGAAAACTTGGAAATTCTTCCCTCTAAAGCTTGTTGATCTAGTACCTTAAACACTTGCATTATTTATTGCTTACTCTAGTAGAAATGATTACTATGATTTGATTATTGATATTCTTTATAATGAACTTCAAAATAACTCTGTTCATAAATTAAGGATTTCGGGGCACATCGATTTCCATGGGTCATTTTCTAAGATTAGCTATTTCTGGTTAGTTAGCATCCAATTTTTGAGTCATTGCACCCATTCTTCTGTAGTAAAACTAAATATAGTAAGTGAAATATTCAGGCTTCCATGGATGACTGTTGTGAGGAAACCAATCTACTCTCATAAACTACATTATGTTATACTAAATGACTTAATTGTGAAATCACCATGTGAGTGTTTCTTTTTTTTTTCCTTTGGTGAGGAAACCAGTCTACTCTCATAAACTACATTATGTTATACTAAATGACTTAATTGTGAAATCACCATGTGAGTGTTTCTTTTTTTTTTTTTTTCCTTTGGTGGTACCGGGGATTAAACTCGGGACCTTGCTCTTGCCAGGCAGGCACTTAAGCCACTGAGCTATATCCTTAGCCCCACCATGTGAGCTTTTATCATGTATATGTTGCTGAGCTCATTGACATTTCTATTATTATCTGTATGAGATGTGTTGATTTTGGGTTCTTAAAAAATAGCCTCATTGTATAAATATCAAAGACTTTCAGGATATTTGCTAATTGAATAATTATAGTTAGAGACAACTCTTTCTAAAAGTACCACATTCACAGTGGAATATGGGTAAGGAGGGAAGATATGTGGCAGGCTGAAGCATATTGTTTTATCTGTTTAATTTCTTTTAGGTCCAGAAAGTTCCACGATTTCATGGAAAAGTGCATGATAAAGAACTTTCTGTTTCGCCCTACTTCTGCAAACTTGCTTCAACACCCATTTGTTAAGGACATAAAAAATGAACGACATGTTGTTGAGTCATTAACAAAACATCTTAAAGGAATCATTAAAAAAAGACAGAAAAAAGGTAGAATTTGAGATGTTTCATTTCACTGGAGTAAATATTTAGATGAAAGTAGAATTGATTCATGTATTGTATTCAAGAAAATTTTCAAATTAGGTTTATTGGTACATTCAAAAGGAAGGTGGAACTAGGGTGGGGAAAAGGTAAAATGAAAGAAGGAAAAAGGCAAAAAAGCAAAAAAAATCAATAAAAATATTTTTAAGAATTAGATTAATAGTAAAATTTGAGAGGCTTTTTAACATTTAGTTTTTCTAATAATTTGTTCTTTTATTGTACAATTGTATATGAGGTTCTTCATAATAGCTAGTTATATTTGGCAAATATATGTACAAAGAAGTTGAAAGGCTTAAATAAAAATTTCTGTTGTGGTAAGTTAACTCCTAATGAAAAATAATTCATTTGACTCTATGGAGAAAAGTGAATTTGTAATTGATCATTTATTAACTAATTTTGACATAATGTTTGTACATACAAAGCCTTGTTTTACATACTAATTGGCAACTATGAAATACAATTAAAGGAAATAATTTATATCAATAGAAATTAGCTTCTATCTATTGAAGGTTAAAATGGCAGGACAAATTGTCACCAAATATAGGGGAAAGTACTTGGGATACTGACTTTATGATTTGTGACATTTTATACATTTATATTCATGGGTTATGCATGGGGTCCAGAGTAACAGTGGAATGGAGATGGGGAAGTTAGACACATAACAGGCATCTGCAAATCAGCTGCAGGATTTATTACAGTACAGTGGTGTTTGTCACATATGCATAATTATATGCATCTTCTTTTCAAATGAAGAAAAGCTAGAGTAATTTATATACCTTTCACAATGAAGTCATTAATCCAAGATCACAGAAGCCAAGCATTCTCAAATGGGTGCAGCAAAACTATACAGATACTTAATGTTTGACTGATATCCAGCAGTGCAAGATTTCCAAAATGTTACCTATAGGCAAAGTCTGACTTATGTGGTGGTTACCCTGAAAATGTAAATATACTTGTCAAAAACATTTTAATGTAGGAAATTCAAAAGAGAACTCTTTTATTTGTAAGCTTCTGTTTTCTAATAGCTATAATACAAAGAGAAAGAAGCTGAATGTTTCAAAATATATTGGGTAGCAAATCAAGAATTAAGATTTTTGCCTTCTCCATAAAAAGATCAAAGACCAATCCCAGGTCATGAAGTCTTTACATGTGGAGTTCATAGTTCTAAGCCACGCCCACCAAACATCGGAAGTTTCTCTAAATCCATTTTTCCTTTGTCCCATTTGTTCTTTTTTCTCTACCAGTAATTGGTTTGAGAGACTTTCTTTCCTGATCCCAGATATATTTATCTGCTTGCAATAGCTGTATGGTATTGCAGAAGTGAACCTAGAATATTGTGTTTGAAGACAACCACATGTTTGAAGGACTGTCATCTCTGCCACTTTGAGGTGCAAAACAACTAAGATGGATTATGTGTAGCTTTGCTTAATAATGATCAAATATTTGTTTCTCTCTATAAAAAGATACACCTCTGGTTTTTAAAAGAGAAGAAGCAATTAAGGAGCAGCATGCCATGAGAAGATTCAGGTGTGTTAAATAAATTGAATATAATTTCATGATAGCAATTCACAAGATACACTTGATTCCATACAGTTGCCTTTAGCTCAAAATAACTCAACCCTTTCTGAAGCACTAAATAGCACATCTGTTTCCATGCGATATTGTCTTGGAAAATTTTATTACTGCTCAAAGCTTTCTTAGTATGTGGCAGTAGAATGATCAACAGATAATTAGAGCCCATTAATCGTTTGATACATTGACATTGCAAGTGTTACCACCAGGAAATTTCAAACACTACAAAAATCATTCCAAAAAGATTTCTTGAAAATATCTTTTGACAGAAAATGTCTCTTAAAATAAAAACAATTCCCCTGAATGGCTCCAATCTACTGAAAGTTCTCATTTGTATGTTTATTTCAGAGGACCCTCTTCCACTCATGAGATTCTGAGATTGCCAACAAGCAGCAGATGCAGACCACTTAGAGTGCTGCACGGAGAACCCTCTCAGCCAAGGTGGTTGCCTGATGGAGAAGAGCCGCAGATCCAGGCACTTCAGCACCTCCATGGAGCAGCTAGGGTGTCCATGCCACTACAGGCTCAGGAGAACGCACATGGGCCCCTGCAAGGGCAAGCTCAGGCACCTCAGCAACTACATGGGGCAGCTCAGGTGTTCACGCCACTACAGGCTCAGGTTAAGGCTAAGGCATCTAGGCCTCTGCACATGCAGATTAAGGCATCTCCACTGCTACGGAGGGCAGCCCAGATGCTCATGCCACTACAGTCTCAGGGTAAGTTAGACGTACAGGCCCAACGGCAGGATCAAGCCCAGTCACAAACCCAGGAATTCAAACAACCTCAAGACCTGGACCAGGTTCCAGAGGAATTGCAAGGGCAAGATCAGATACCTGAACAAGAACAAGGACAAGGTCAGGCTGCTGAACAGCAGCAGAGACAGAACCAGGTTCCTGAACAACATCCAGAGCAGAACCAGGAACCCGAACACCCAGAGGTACAGGCCAATGAACCTGCACAAGCAGAGAATGAGGCAGAACCTGAGCCATTAAGGGTACATGCCCAGGTATTCCTGCCCCTACTGTCACAGAGCCACCACGTGCTGTTGCCACTACATTTGGATACTCAGGAGCTCATTCCAGTAGGAGAGCCAACAAGAGCATCACCTCAGGCACACAACTGGACACCAGAGCCCTTACAAGCAGTTAACTCCATCCAAGCACTGATAGATGGACTAGCAAATGACCTGCTTCGAGCACCAGACTCGCATAGCTCAAAGCCACTTGGCCTACTGCAAACTCTGATGGAAAACCTGGCATCAGATGTGTTTTATTCTCAACCAGAACAGTCAGGGAAAAAAAAATCCAAGGTTTCTAGTCTAAAGAAGGCACTTGCAAAAAGATTGTCAGCAAAGAGGTTCAGGGCAAAGTCATCAACTGGAGAACTTGGAGACTTGTATTTAAAAGCCCGGAGGAACAGGCGCCGGTGCAGACAGGAAGGAAGATTTAACCAGCATGAGGAGGATTTGAGACAATTTGAGAATGTAAGAGTTTTGATGTTTTTATTCATTCAAAAATGCAGCAAAAATTTGCTAGTTTGTAACTATATTTTTCTTTTGTAAAACCCAGTGTTAAGTGAAACAAATCAGATGCATGGGTTTAAAGCTGTAGTTTTTTTTTTCTATGAAGAGAAAGTCAGAGTATAGATGGCAGTCAAAGGCCAAAACAAGAGACAGGAGGGAATAAGGAGATCGATCGTTGAGAAAGGAAGGGAAGATGGAAGTGAGAGAAGTAAGGTGATGGAAATGAAACTTGCATCATATAAACATACCTCATAGCAGAATGTATTCATGAGGCACTACAAATGTACTAATTTTAAAGAAGGAAATAAACATTCCCTGTGTTCTAGAGAAGATTTACTAAATAATTTGTGCTTCAAACAAATTATCCCAAAATTTGCAGATAACTATGATGAAATGTAAGGAAAAAAATTGAATTATCCATGTAATTGCTTAATATATCAATAGAAATACAACTTTATTAGCTTCTGTTATTACCTTGACTAGCACAGTGGCTCCTATAGTTTACACTTATAATTATTTGAATCTTTACAGACTATTTTAATATTTTAAAAACACTTTGTTCTTTAGTCCTCTAATCCATAAGTGAATTAATTTTTGCTATAGAATATTGGACCGCACTATTTGGGTGAATTATACTAATTTTTGTAGTGATATAAAATGATATTTAAGCTAGTGCTATGAGAAGAATGTTTCCAAAATATTTTTCATATATGGTATTTGTGAATTATCTCACTCATTGGCTACTTTTCTTATGAAATTAATGAAAGGGCTGCACATACTGTGAAACAGTTCCAAGTTGGTCAGTGCACCCTTTTGAACTACAGAATATAGTGCGTTAATTTCTATCTTACTTAAGAATAATGAAAAACCATTATTTTGAAACTTTCAAATATAAGTCATACAATTTGACTGCAGTTATTGAATTTACCTAACAACTCTACCCTGATACTGAAAATTACAAGCCTGGTGAACAATTTGCTGAGGTTATACAAAATTAAGAGAGCAGTTGTTTTCTTTTACTCTTGAGCACCCATTTCTATAATACAATTATTGTCATGATCCTCAATTAAATCCTGTTATCCACATCAACCTACTTAATAATATTGGATATAGTAAGTAAAAAATTAACCTTGTACCAACATTCAGATAAGTGTGGTTGGGGGGTACAGCATATGTTTGGTATAATGTGAGGTCCTGATTCCCTCACCTTGTGCTGGAAAAGGAAAGCACATGGGATTTATACAGCTATTGATTCTCCACAAATACTATTTTTTTCCCTACAATCTGGATAATATTTGGGGGTTGGCCAGATAGCTCAGCAGACTAAAGTACTTGCTTTGGCAGAGCGAAGCAGCTGGGGTCTGATCCCTGGCTTGCTGTGTCGGCCCTGCCCCATGGAGCATTGAGATGGTGATTGAGACTGGGCATGGTGGCGCATACCTGTAATCCCAGCTCTTGGGAGGCTGAAAACAGGAGGATCACTATGAATCCAATTTACATAGTGAGACCCTGTACACCCTGTCTGAAATTCATAAAAAAACTGGGTATTTATATTTTGTAATAAAGGGGGATTTGATATTTCATTAAAATATTTTTAAAACTTGTTTATTCAATTCGAAATATTTATTTTGCTTTTCAATTAGGGCTGGCCAGATAGGTTAATGGACTAAATTGCCAGGCAGGCACTGGGACTAGGGTTTGATTCCTGGTATGCTGTGCTGACCCTGCACACAGGGCGCAATGAGAGGGCGACCAAGAATGAGCATTGTGGTGGGAGCCTATAATCCCAGTTCTTGGGAGCCTGAAAAACAGGAAGGATCACTATGAGTCCCATGTATGTAGTGAGACCCTAATTTGTAGTTTATGAAGATTATTAAGTGAATAAGAACGAATAGGTCATGCTTTGCTTTTCTGATGTCTGTTACAATTTTGATCTAATATATATATATATATATATATATATATATATATATTTAATCTGTATATTGCTTAGTGAAGTTGTGCTGTTTACTGAAAAAAAGAATTCTTTGGATGTGGGCATATTGGAACTACCAAACACGTTGCAATTTCTTGGCATGTTTAATGCAGCAGGAGAAGAAAGGCCTCAAAGGGGGAATGCATGCTTAGCTTCAAGAATACAAAGAAAAATAACCCAGTGATGGAGAAGGGGATGATATGAGTCCAGAATAGATTAGATTTGTTTAAAATTCAGGCACATAGTATGCTACTTACTACTCTCAGAGTCCTATTAATCATTTAGCCCATATGGGCTTTGTATTATAAAAAAAAAAAGTATTTATCTGTGAAAGGCTCATAATGTTTCTGGTGTAGCAATGCATATTGTCATTCTTGGTCTTAATACATATGTGAGAAGTTATTTTATTTATTTATTTATTTAGTTAGTTAGTTATTTTTGGCGGAACCAGGGATTGCACTCAGGCCCTTGCGCTTGCCAGGCAAGTGCTTATTCTACTGAGCCATCTCCCTGGCCCCATTTTTTTTTTGGAAAGAAGTTATTTTAAACTAGAAGAAAATGTCAGTAAATAATAACAATGCCTTGCTTACTGGTCCTTGTACAGATATTCATATCTTTACATGTGGTCCTTAGTAAAACAAATGTATTAATACTATTTTGAAAGGATTAGTCTTCTGAAATAATCTGAAATTTTACTAAAATTTTGCAAAATATATAAGCTCTTCATCTCACCAGAGGAAAAAAATTTTTATTGCATTTTCATTTGAAGAGATAATTTGGCTTAAAATAAAAAACAAGTTCCTAAAATCTTGAAGCTTAATCAGGGAGAATATGTGAATCTTTATGTTACAGGTTTTCCATTGTTCAGAGGTCCAAACTTGAGAGTTGTCAAAGCTTACTAAATGTGAAAATTAATTTGGGTTATAAGTTAATCAAGCGAGATTTTTGTGTGTGTGTGTGTGTGGAACCGGGGATTGAACTCAGGCCCTTGAGCTTGCCAGGGAAGCGCTTATTCCACTGAGCCATCTCCCCGGCCCCCTAAGCGAGATATTCTTAATTTTGAACCTACAGATATGCTTTAGGAAGTCAGGAGTCCCGCTGAAAATATGTGTAAATATGTGTGTTTATAAGCAGGTTTCTATAGATAATTTATCACATTTCTCAGATTTTGAAAGAATCCAGTTCTAAAAAATTACCAGAAACCACTGATTGAAGTAATTTTAATATTTGAAAAGTACACTTAAGTTACTTAGTAGGATAATGCAGTTGATTGGTACTGTCATTTTTGCATTCTAAGAACATTTAAAGTATTTGTATTAATGTTTTTGTTTTAAAGGACAAAGATGAAGAGTCATCAGATAATGGCGAAGTTTTCCATTCAGTTCAGGCAGAAGTCCAAATGGAGCCAGTGCAGCCACCCATTCGAAATCCTCCAGAAAATGAGGTGAATTTCATATTCTAGATTGTGAAACATTTTGTTATCAGGATCCCTTAAACCTTAAACATTCAGTACTCCCAAAAGGTTTTGTTCATGGTATGGATTGTGGCATTCAAAATTTGAATTACAGAAGTTAAAACAAAAAGCTAAAATACATGTGAATTTAGAAGATAATAAAATTCTTATATGCTAACATAAAATTTTTAATGAAAAATACCTATAATTTTTAAAAGCAAATTTTGGAGATAATGTCTCCAAAATGTTTTCTATTTTTCTAGATATCTTTATTGTACCTCACTTAATGGAAAATAGCTGGAGCTTCATATCTGCTTCTGCATTTAATTTGTTACCATATGTTCTTTTGGTTGAAATATATGAGCAAACAATGACTTGTAACATATAGGTAGTTATAAAAAGAGAATTTGAATTATCTCAGATTATTGTTCCTATTGTTTGAATATATGCCAAAACCAGGAAATTGTAATCTAAAACTACCAGTGAAATTTTGCAATCTATTACTCAGACTTGTGAATGAAATAGTGATGTTTTATGCATGATTTTTAATTTCATGCATTCATCAGGTGGAAAATACTAGTATAATCTTTATGTAAATCTTCCAAAATATGTGCGTGTTTCATTACATAATATCAAAAACATTTGTTAATAATGCTATCAATTTTAAAGTGTGTAATTAGTATGTCTAAACGTCAATGGCAAATACAAGTTTAAATTCTGATTTTCACTTGAAAGATGAGATTTTATCAGTGCTAGCAAATTACATCAGTTTTAATTGACATTTTTTCTTATTCATTTAAAATAAAATGCCTTCCAATTTCCCAAAGCTTAAGTAATCACAGGTTTTCTATCAGTGATAACTTAAGTACAAATATTTCCCATAAATAGTGATGGTACTTCATAATCATAACATCTTTCTCCTTGGTTGTTTCTTTTTCTTTTTTCTTTTTTTTTTTTTTTTGTGGAACTGGGGATTGAACTCAGACCCTTGTGCTTGCCAGGGAAGCGCTTATTCTACTGAGCTATCTTCCCAGCCTTGATTGTTTCTTTTCAGTGATGTAATTTGTGACATGATCTGGGTCATTTAATTTCAGGTTTATTTTCTTACACTTCTCAGAATTGCTAAGTCAAGCTTTGTGTCCCTGTTAATTTATATAAATATTATCTTCTTTAGAAATGCATAGGTGAGGCCAGATTTATGGGTTCAAATCTTTTGATGTTGTGGTTTTTTTAGTACATATTTGAAGTACATAATGATTGGATTCCTCTTGGGGAGTTGTATATGCACATAATACATCTCAATTCTCTTTTTCATGCCCTTACTTTTCCTTCCCTCCCCATCTCTCCATCTCTTGGTCTGCTTCATTCTTGCAAAAGATCTATTTATTTGCTCTTTTATTTTCTATTTATTATCTGACTTTTATTTTCCTATTTAGAGTTTGGATTTCTCTTATAGGAGAAACCATGTGATAATAAATACTGGCAAGGCTCCAAGGGAGGGATTAGAACCCTTCTACATTATTGGTGAGAATGTAAACTGGTAGAACTATTGGGGAAATCAGTATTGAGTGTCCTCAAAAAACTAAACCTAGAAATTCCATTCAATCCAAATATTCGCTGAAAGAGATAAAGACACCATATTATGATACACAAGTACCCAAGCTTATAGCAGCAAAATTTATAACAGATAAATATAGAAAGTAGCCTATATGTCCATGAACAGATGAATGGATAAAGAAAAGTTGGTATTTATGCACAATGGAGTACTGCTCTGCTAGAGAGAAGGATAAACTTGAGTCAATTTTAGGAAAATGGATGTACGCTGAGAGCATAGTGTTAGTTAGTTTAAATTCTTATATGCACAAGACCACATTATCATAGGTAGCATTCATGGTAGCCAGCCATTGAAGGAAAATTTTGGTTATTAAGAGATTAGGTGAGTGGGTGAACAATGCAACATCTTGCTTTATTCATGGTGAGGAAGGTGCCTCACTGCTGTTCCTCTCAGTAAGGACTCAGCTCAGCACAGGATGTTTCACAGATGTTATGAAGCCTTTTGTGGGCAGTTCCCCTTTTAAATACAATATACCAGCATACTAATATTCTGTTGAGTGAATAACTGGATTATAGCTTTTTAAATATTAACCATTCATAGAAGAATGAAAATTATAGATTGTTATTTGATGAGATCAGACAATATGTCTTTCTCTCTGCCTTGATAAGGTACTTGTGTTCTTATATGATAAGCATAATGCCAGCAGCAAAAAAAAATGTAAGGACCTATGTTTCATTTAGAATAAATTAGTGCAGGCTATTCTTGCTAATTATTGTAGTCTTCCCAGTTTTCAAACCAAATATAGACAATTTGTGCAAGGCTTTGCCTTTGCTAATTTTGGCTTAAATCTTTTTGTATACTACTATCAATAAACTTCCTCAGTTGGA